GCACTATGCAAACATTTTCTGGTACATAATGGTATATTTTCTCAGTGTTCATTTCTAGAACTGGTTGACAGTGTAGCCTATATGTTAAACTATTTAGCGTGTCGAAGAATATCTAACATTATTTGATACAGTCATTTGTTTAAGAAAGCAGCATTCGGAGTACCTTTACGTAGTCATATCGGTGCAAAGTTGGTCTCGTTCAATATCGAAGAAATCAATATCAGTCTCACAAACCCAACAGTGCTGATCAGGCTCTAACTGGAATGTACTCAAATCCTCCATCCCATTCTGTTTGGTAAATGGTCCGAGCTGGGCAAGAACCATTAAAACCTAAAATCAGTCTTAATCCAAAACTGAAATGATCCTTCAATCTATTGATGAACTCACACAGATCATCCAAAAACTCCAAATTCAACCCACACGACGCCTGATTCTCAGGCTCCCAGCTCCACCTTAAAAGATAATACACACGGAGCCCTTAACACCACAAATTCTCAAGAAGCAACAAGCAGCCCTGCACCCCAAGGTCACTCTCAACAGCAACCACACACACCCACACACACAAGAGAGACACACACAGCCAACCAGTGGCAGAGGCCGAATACACAATGTAACCGTCCACAACATGCAGTTCAATACACCACACACACCACAGACACACACAGACACACACAGACACACAAACACACACACACAGAGAGACACACACAGACACACACACACACACACACAGAGAGACACACACAGACACAGAGGCCATCAGCAAAGTAGAGCAGACCGAGATGTATCTGACTCACGTTTTTATGAGTGCATCCTCTTATTCCTCATGGAGACGAAGAGCTCCATTTGCAAATGAAGTCGTCCAAATCCATAACGTCTCACTGCACTTGTTTTTGGTGGGAGCCATTTTGTGTGTAAAGTCCTCATCTCTTCTTTTTCTCTGCAAGCAAACTAGCCTTACATAACACGGTAGCTAGCTAACGCTGGTAAAGTTTGAACTCCCTGTTGTTTCATACAAATGTTGACTTCATCTGGTCTGTTGTAGGAACAGAGTATAGCTGTGTTCAAAATAAACTGACGTCATCGTTTCTCTTCCAGAGTTAGCTCACAGTTTCGAAGCTGTTTGATAATAATCGCCTCCAACTCTTCTTTTAATCAAAGGATGCCGACTTCACCTGTTGTCTCTTGGGAAGTAGGTAAGGCTACAATACCGTCTTTGGCCACACACGCTGGTTAACATTGATCAGCCATTGCAACCCAGAGAGGCGCTGTTTCCCCCATATGAGGAGGCCTGATGAAACTGGGGAAGAAAATCTTGTTACTGAACCTGTGTGTTGAATATCATAAGAGTTTTCTTTGACTACGTATACAATATTAGACATTCTTCTCATACATAGAATATGATTAAGTATTAATATATATTAATCTTAAGATATAATGTTGAAGATCTCACATGATAAATGGTTCAGAGCATCAATATCCATTACAGCATATAACTCTCATAAATGTTCACTGATGCTACACCCATACACATAAGGAATAGTTCACATCTTGTTGCAAGAATAGAAAAAAAAGACATGCATTAACCACCACCATTGATCCACCTGAATTGTCTCAAATTAAAGTTCACAAATTTGAATGGACAGAAAGGGCACCTTCGGGACAGTCACCTGAAAAAAGTGGCTTTTATTACAGGCTTTATTATACAATCTACCATCTAACATTCTTTGGTTGGATTTCCAGGACACGTTGTAAAAGTGTGAGCAGGTAAAATGAATGAATTAATCACCTCGCCTCTCTCAGTGACTGCTGTATTTAGTAGAGTCCCCAAGCAGTCCAGTGAAGCTGCAGAGTGGCCATCTGGGGTGAGAAGATGTTAGTTGTTCTAACTAAGCAGCACAACTGAAACGTGTCAAACTGTGTGACTGTACAGAACTGCATCCCTTGGAGGAAGTAGCCATACTTAGCTTTTCCTGGAGTAAAGAGGACACAAGAGGTGTAGGAGCAGACTACTGCAAACCCTTATTGCCCTTCTTTTAGCTTATCAGAGTATGAATGATGAATGTGTCATTAATGTAGTTACAGTATGCGATAGGAAGTATTGATAGTGTAAAAAATATGACCATCCAAAAAGTGGAAATATGTTCTTGTATTTTGAGATCACAGCCCTCCAGTTCTGAGGGCAGCAGACAAAATTTACAAGACAAGAGTTAAAAACTTCTTAACGAGGGAGCCAGTTTGTCTCAGACAAGAGTTTAATAATTTATCAGTAATTTGCAGCAGTGGTGGAAAGTGAAGAGATAGGGGGTGCCAGTGAAGGAAGAAGAGAAAAAAAGAAGTTGTTAAAATAATTCTGAGATAATGTGTTTGTGAAAGGGAATGAGAAGAAAGTTGAAGTAGTGCAGCCAAGTGTATAAAATATATTTAATTTTGAGATTTCCTTTTTACCCAGCTAGTGTTTGGCAGTGAGTGAAATGTCTCTGTGTTTTTTACTTTTTAATTAATCAGAAGATTGCTTCGTGCACCTGCTACACTTTGAGAAAGCATAACAGCATTTTGTCTTATATAGATAATGGCACAGGATGACAGGAACCTGAAAAGAAGCAACTGAAGTCCTTGGCCCAAATCAAACCAGGGGCCTTATTTATAAAACTCAGCGTAGATTCCATCCTAAAACTTTACAATCTTCTTGTGCAAGAAAATATTCAGAGCTAGAAAACCGTGCGGCGCACGCCTGTACGCAGTCCTCTCCTTGCGGTGAATTGTGCGCGCCTTTGCTCCTCCCACTGTCTTCCCACAATTATCCATAAATGATGCTAAATAGATCATAAATATATCGAACTGTTTAAGGAACCTTTGTTGGACTTTCAATGGAAAGTATACGTGCGCTTTCTGGGCACCAAACAGTAACCAACAAACCGTTACTTTGGTAACCGCCACACAAACATGACAGACAGTGAATTAACAGTGTGATGAGTATCGATATCGATCCACCAAAAAGCTCTTCTTTTATTGAGAAATCTTATTTTTAAAACGGGCCCCCTCTCATCCCCACAGTCTTCTCCCAATGAAATAACACAGCTAACCAACAGAGGCAGCCTGCTGAGGCAACAAAACCCTGAAAGCAGTTTGTACAGAAAAACAGATTGTCTTTATGGATTATGCTGATACCGAATTGACAAGAAGACTGTCGACATATCACGCCCTTTATCTCGTGTTTCTAGAGTTACGTGTTTTACGGACACGTTAGGAATTGTTAAAATGTTGTGTTTCTTAAAGGGAGTTTGGCATAATAATGTCCTGGGGCGCAGGATGCTTAGTTAAATTCAGTCTACTTTGTGGATTTTTTTTTAACGTTTTGTTGATATTAGAGTTGAGGTTAAAAAACACCAATTGCCATAATCAGGAAACCGTTTCGCCTGGAGTTGTGCCAGAGGGAGAGGGAGACACTGATGCAGCTACGGGTGCCACAGAAACCAGCAAGGCTGACTTCTGTAATACCAAAGCTGAACTATCTACATAATAAGCTAATTCTCACTCTGTTTAAATTACTCAAGTCAGACACATTAAATAGTTGGTACCAATTTATTTAGACACTGTGGCTGCTGGTTTGGGTGGCGCATGGTGTGCGCCAGTGCCGCACCGCGCCTCCAGTGCGCACAGCTGGGCGCCGGTGTCCGGTCAACCAGGACCCAGTTTGTTTTAGTATTCTTTCTTACCAATACTTGTAGTAATAATAATAATTATAATATTAATAATAATAATAATAATAGACTACACAATTAGGGGTAGCATAGACTGAAATGTAGTGATGATGAGCGTTTTATATTTAATCTGTGTGCATTTTATGTTTATTTGATGTGGGGTTTTTCTTCATGAGGACTGACCTTTATTTCATGATCTCACCATCTGGCATCTGTTTCCGGTGTCTCAAAAACTTTGTGGGAGCTCTGTGCATGTGTGAAAGCATGCCTAGAAATGCGCACACCTTACCGCACATCATTTCTCTACAAATCCCGATTTGCGCGCGGAAAGACGCGTACGCACATTTCACCGCCATTTCGGCAACTTTTTGGTTCTAGCAGGCAGCTTTTATGAATGTCATCATGTGTCATAAATGATTCCACATGTCACCTGCATGTGTTTTAAAAGCCACACTCTCAAGAAGCTGAGAAACTGTTTGGCAAATCTCATTTCTGCAGAAGCCTCAAACAGCTGCCTGACAAGTTCCAAAACACGAACTACCCATAATGCCCTTGTGCACTACATTAAGGAAAGAATGATCCACAGCAGCTGCAGGCCTAAAGGTGGATGGATGCAGGGAAGAGTTCAGCAGTGATTGCCACTGACTGTAGCCCGGTCTCGTTCTTCTCACTGTATCTAAATCAAGCCCCACAGTCTGTTCTGCCCTTGTCAGCACTTGTTAACCTCCGCATTGATTCTTCTGCACTACTGTACATCTCCTTTAATTAAAGACACCGGCTAATCTGGCTTTCACCGAGCTGTATTTGCGAGCGTGAAGCTGTCATCTCAAGATGATTGTGGCTAAATATAGCACTTTACATTTACATGTATTGACAAAATGAGTTATAAGGGCAGCAGAGGAGGGATGAAACTAGTTTGACCTCTGGTGGGTTTCACCAATGACTTTCTCTACTTTCACATACACGTACCAGATAAATATTGTTTGCAATGACTTGGACTCATTCACAGTGGAATAAAATTACCAAAACATCCACAGAAACTTGTCAAACCATTCCTGCTGCATAATCCACCATTTGCCATTGTCCATCTACATGCTCAGTATGTTCCAAACATGCACAGATGCATCAAAATACGACTATATATACTGAATTTATTTCAAGCTTTGACATGGTTTGTGCACATTAGCGCAACTGCTTCTTGCTCCCAGATTAAGCATGTAAGCAATCATTAAAAGTCTGCTGTACTTTTATTTTTTTGCCAGAAAATAACACCATAACCTTACTTTAAGACTACAGTTCATCTTCAAACTCACTCTTTGTAGTAGCATTTAGGTGTCATGGGAAAGCATTTAAAACACATTGGAAACAGAAATCTCTATGCTGGAAATAAAAATCTTCTTTTATAATATATTACCCTATCAAGACGAAATAATATTTCTAAATAAAAATATGGATTTACAGTGATCTATGTAGTTTTGTCTTTTTGTATTGTTGAAAGAAACTATATTTATCATGAAACATGAATATTAATGTCATGCTTGGTTTGGCCCAACAATCTACATTTGCTAACAACATATTTGGACAACATATGCCCAAACAATTCTCCCAGAAGCAGTTCCAGTATTTCTTGGAAACAAACTACATATTTAGCAGCTGCTGGTTGTTTGCATGTATTTCATGTAAATCAACGTACCTCTATTTTACAATTATCAAGAGATCTTTCAGGGACAGCTTCAAGGTTTGGCAGAGCTAATTAGATTTAATAATGGCTCAACAGCAGAGACAGAGCGCTTTAGTAAATGAGGTAATAAAAATGCCTTTCTAATGCCTGGCCACAAGACAATGAAAATAACCATCATGAGGGGACAGTGTGAGGACACAATACAATATGTCTTCATCCCACACAAGACATCTGTAAGTGACGGTGCTTGGTGCTGTGTGAGAGATGAGAACAGAACAGGAAAAAGGGCCCATTTGAGCATCGATCACTTTTATGCCCCCGGTCTGTTTGCATATTTTAGACCTATAAACAACATGAATGATGTGCCGTGTAATGCACCATAATCGAGATTTATTCAATCTTGGGTGGAGGGGGTAGAGGGAGGAGATGTTCACAATCCCAGAATCAGTAGGGGCTGTTGTGACTGTGTGTGTGTGTGTGTGTGCGTACTTGTGTGTGCGCACCGTGATTTATTTGATTTAATTAGATCGCCGATGTAAAACAGCTCGCAGGGAAAAAAAGGTAAAGACGAGTGCCGAGGGAGGCATAAATAACACCAGGCTCTTTCCCTTTTCCTCCGTGCCTTTCTTTTCTCCTCTGCATCTCGTTTTCTTTCAACTCTCTGATCTTTCCTCTGCCCGTATACAATCTGTCATTTTTCTCCATCTTCCACTAGCCTATTTTTTCCTTCACCTTTTTTTCTTAGCTTTCTCATGCCTCCGTTTTGCTCTCACCATCCTCACTCTACCCCCACCCCTTCCCTCTCTCTCCCTTTCCGTCTCCCTCTGCTCCGCTCCCAGCTGAATAATGATAGGGGGTAAACACCTCATTAGGTTAAAAGGCCCACAGGAGCAATCAGAGACATTGTACTCTGTCGAACCTGTTACTCCGAACACTCACAGAGACATTTTGAACACAGCAGGACAAGGAAGGATCCTACACAGGAAGTGGGGAGGGGGTTGGGTGAGGCATTCAATGGAAAATCAGTCATATGTGAATCTTTTGCTAATGCTTAAACACTTCTTGTTGTTTTCTTTCTTTGTCTTTAAGGACCGAGAACACACACATTCACACGCAGCCATGAATAGCTGATTTATGGTGAGTGATCAGCAGAGAACAGGAGCATAAATCTACACTGTCCAGTGGTAACGGCCAGTAAAAGTGGTTTATCTGACACTTTGAACCGCCTGCATCACTTCGTCCCAGCCAGCCATATTTGCCTCTCTGATACCAGGTGTACAAGGTCAGAAACTTAATTCACTTCAACTTTCAGATGTTTTCACGCATACTTTCTTGTAGCAACTTGTCCTTCCTCACTTTTTAATTTTTTTTAAACTTAACACGCTTGAGTTTTCCAAGAAATATATCTCGACATGCTTGATTTTATAAAATGTACCCCTTGGGTTTAACCCTAGCTGTTTCAAGCGAGTCCACTTAGTTGAGTTTCTCAAGATAAGAAGTTAAAAAGAAATATCACGTTAATCTAGTGCTTCATGATGTCAAATCAATACTATGACATTTCTCGATTAGAGTCAGATGAGAGGGTTGATACTACTCTCATGTCTGTGTGGTACATTCATGTAAATATTAAGCCAGGTTTCAGTTAGCGTAGCTTAGCATAAAGACTGGAAAAGGAGGGGAAAGTTAGCCCGAAGGTAATAAAATCCACCTACAATCACCTCTAAATCTCACGAATTAACAAGCTTGTTTGGTTACATGTGGTTATATGCCAGACTATTTCTTGGCAGCAACAGTCATCACTGTGAGGTTGCCAGGAAATTAGCAGAGACACCCCAGTTTTCAGTCATTAAGCTAAGGATAATGACTGAAAACTGGCTGCTGACTGGAGCTTCATGTTCAAGACATATGATTAACTATTGGCAAAAAGGCAAATAAGCATTTCCCAAAATGTTGTGCTACTCCTTTAAGGCATAGCTTCTTCCACCACTCCACACGTTTCTCTCACCCCTATTCTTGACTCTCCAGCCTCTCTTCTCTTACAGGCGTTTCAAAGCATCGGCGCATTGTACACTCAATATTTCATGTTGTAGTCACACATCATATCTCTCCTCAGCATGCTGAGTTAAAACTCTCAACTCAAGTCTAAAGCACCAAATAACAGCACTATAGATAGGGCTATTGCACCTAAAGTTCATGTTTGTGTTCATGAAAACAATGTTCTGTCAGATGCAGTTGCCTCTTTTGCTTTGGGTGTGTGTCCCTGTGTGTTGTGCATCATGTGAGTGTGTATGTATATGAAACGAAAGGTGAGGTTAATTTGATTCGTGAGCAAAGCATATCAGTGTACAACCAAACTAAAACATAAGTTATAAGTCTTCTATGTGACTTTTACACCTGTTTCTCTGGTAGTCAGCACAAATATACATAATGAATGGCTTCATCATTTATGCATGCTAAGCAATAATGTATGGCTAGTAATCTTTAGGAATTCTAATAGCATTTTTTTCTAATGGTCTTATGTGCTGGTTCATTGTCATTAAATAAAACATGATTTCTAACAATCCCTAGCCTCAGGGACTTGAGACACAGACAGTTCAAATCATGCTTATGTAATCCCTTACTTCCACTTACCCAGCTTTCCTGTCATTAACCAACACAAGCAGTACAGTAAAATTATATAGCAAGTATAGCAAAACATTCCCATCGTTTTTAATCTTTGGCTTATTTTTGTCAGATTGGATCTTTTGATTGCTGCTTTAAGAAACCAAAGTGCCCCGTGGACGAGATGTCCTTTTTAGGAGTAACACGCTTTTGAAAGACCTCAGGCAATATTCATAGTAATCGCTTTTAAATTGTTATTGATTAACAAAGTGGTTTATACAGAGGAAACTGATCCACGAAAACAGCTGAATCAGTGCATCAAGCTTGTCATTACTGAGAGTAAAGAATGAGGGAACCATCGGCTGTAGATGCAGAGTCCATTGTAGGTGTTTCACTTTGCGACACTGAATAAATCTTCCTCCAAAATTGCTGCCTGAAACAATAATGAAAAGAAAATAAGTTAATCAGTTAGCGTTTTCCTCAGACACTTTCTATTTTAAAAAATCACAAGTTGTTAGCTGCTCTAATTTGTAAATTAACTGTGAAATGAACTGTGAGGGCAATTTCTAACACTTGAGAATCTGAAGACTATTACCACAACCACAGCTCTAGGGATCTACTGTATGTTGTTATTTGATTTCGGGGATTACACACACAGAGCAAAACAAACAAAGATTGGACAGACTGCTTAAGTAAGCTCTCAAGAAGTGGCAGGGAGTAGAAATAAAGCCAGCAGAAAGACACTCATACAAGCTAGAAAGTGCTTCACAGACGATTATCTCAGTTCATCTACAAAACAGCTTTAGTTCATTTAATTAATACGCTTCTTAAAGTTAAACAATTCTATAAATGAAAATAAGGTAACTCTATTATACATTCAACAGAAATGGACAGAACCATAAATATTCATGAAAAATCAGCTTTCCCCAGAATATGAATTCCAATGGGATGACCTTAAGATTGACCTTTTACACCACTCACCTTTCACCTCTAAACCTTCGACCCACAGACAGAGCTCTAAGAACTGTGGCTGGCAATGAGGCAGTTGGGCGCGACAGTGTTAATGGTCTTGCGGGCCGTTAAAGAGCCAGGGGCCACATGAGGGGAACAGCAGGGACCCAGAGGGTTGTTGAGTGTCACATTGAAGGTGCCCTTCATTACTGTGTTCATGATACTGGGACTCAACTGCAGAGACACAAACAGAACGGATGAGGGATGATGATGGGTGATACGGTATGGGTATAAACACACACACACTAAGCAGAAGAGAACAATTCTAAAAGTATGGGTAAATTTACATATAAACAAAAATGTAAAGCACACAAAATGTGTTCTTTTCATACTTACGTGGCATTAAACAATATTCAAGTCCCTTTTAGCAACCCTTTGTACAGTACTAGATGTGAAAAGGATCCAGTCAACAGGCTGAGGTTAAACATTCATCTACAATTGCAAAAAGGTCGTTGAGCAGGACTTACTGTATAGCAATGAATACATACAAATATAGAAGAAAACAAACAAAAAATTCCAAATAACTTAATGAATGGCAGCCAATATGATGAAGCGAGGAGTAATAGGTGGTTGTCCTTTGACTTTAAAGCAGGAGTAATCAAAAGTTCTTGCCGTTTTCCACCAATCACTTTTTTACATGGCATTTAACAGTCTAATAAAACTTGTATCCCTGGACAGCGTACGAACCTGCTTACTAAAGTCAACAGCCTCATGTGAAACAGCTTCACGGTGTCTTCTGAGAAATGGACGAACCACTCAAATACAGCAGGTGTGGAAGTCATTTTATAGTCACATGTTCCATACACCATCTAACCATGTATGTCCACAAGCTCATCTTTCACAATAGGTGGTCCATATAAACATCTGCTGCTGAGCTGTGGGAGACACACTGCAGCTTTCTTTCAGAAATGTAACTCCCTCCACCTCAATAGTCTCTTTTTGTATTATCTAAATGTATGTGTTCATCAGATGTTGTGTGTATCAAGCTGCTGGTGAATACTCAGATTTGTTCAAAAGCATCACATGAGTAGAGCCACTAAAATTAAATTCTTGTAAAAAAAAAAAGATGGTTGAAACCTTGATATGAGTGTCCTGGCTGAACTAAGGAGTTATCGCTTATTTTATATGTCTCAAAGTGTTGCATTAGTGACTTTTTGTATTTGTTCTACTCTTGGTACTGTCAATGTCACTGGACTGTTATTTTTAGTAAAATGTATATTACTATTTACTATTTATTGATCACATTGCAACCTTAAGTTCGAACCCATCTCACATCCAAAAAGCAACACATGTAGAGAATTAATCAGCACACATAAATTATTAGTCTGTCTGTTCCAGGTCTTACCAAGGGGAACAGGAGAAAAAGCCAACAGAACATACAATTCAAAGTCAGACCTTTAAATCACCTCACCAAAAAATTCAAAAAACAAAATAAATTGTCTCTCTCTGTCTCTCTCACACACACAGACACGCACACAGGCAAAGATGCAGACATACATACATATGTATGCTGTATACACACTCACTTGACCTACCTCACGTCCCACCTAGGAACTTCCTGAGGAATCTACCTCTCATTTTATCAAAGCTCTCTTACTCTCCCATTTCTCCCCCGACCCCCTCTCCTCCCCTTAACCCCCGAGCACAAATACACAGTACATCAGTATGCCAGAGGTGCCGCAGTAGGATTTAGGCACATTGGCGGGGCTGCTCAGATCTCACTATTGATCCTAATGGGGAAAGGGTTGCGGGTTCAACTCCAGGTCACCCTCAGGGTTGCCCGGAAGGTCAGGGAGATGGGGAAGAGCCTTTGGAAGTGACGACACCACCGGCATGGCAATGATGAGGGAGATTATTGGATGTTTCACTAGGTCAAAGAGGGGAGAAGGAAAAAGGGATCTATGCAGGGAGTTGGTGATGATGTTGTTCAGTATGTACGCAGACGTGTACAAGTGTGCACACAAGCACAGAAGAAAGAGCGCTGCATGCAAAGTCTTTCCCACAACACACATACAGTACATGACACATACAGAAAAGCAACACAAGCTTCATCCCATACATGCATATACACATGCCAGCAAAATAAAGAATGCTAATTCTCTGTGCACGTGGAGCATGTGGAAATTTGCACATTCACCACAAATAGATGCTTTCATGTTGCTTCACACGCACACCCACGCATACACAAATCACTGCACAGATACACAGAGTGCTCATACCTAAACAAAACAAAAAAGGTTGTTTGTCAGTGCACTGACTCGTAACAGTGCTGTCTGATCTGCCACCTCTCTGGTAAGGCTTGGTTTAGTAAAGGCAACCAAGACGACTTGGTTGCGAAAAGATTGTGGTCATGGTTAAAAAAACAAAACAAATGTTGATGGAAGATGGGAAGCAAACCACATCTACCAACCATCAGCAAACGCCATGCTATCCCGAAAAGGCCAATCATGAGGTATAAACACAGGTGATTCCAGTCTGAACAATTAACCTATGCTGGGTTTTTTTGGCAAAGCATCATGGGAGATAATGATCAAAGAACTTTTAGAAACAGACAGCTTTATTTCATCAGTAACACATTGGAGAGTATTATGTGTCATGTTAGGGATCTAGGAGACAAATAGAAATGCAGCAATAGGGGTACATTTTTGTATTTTAAACCATAAGGATAAGCTCACTGCCCTCATCAGAAAAAAATGAGAACATGATAAGATGGTATCAGCTGGCAGTGCTTCCCACGTAGAAGCTTTAGAAGTAGAATTATAAAAACTCTCAAATGGAGGAAGCAAATGTAGAGACATAAACAGCACACCATGAGGAAGGTCTGATGAAATGTCAATTGTGTTAAGGACACCTTCTGTTCTGACTCACAATGACTATCAAATAAGCTTCTTAGGGTCTGTATGTGCTTTGCACAGGCAGGTTTATATATCAGTAAAGATCACAGCATTTAATTAATATTTGTTTTGCTTGATGTCTGCTCCCTGTGTCTTTTTATATTCCTGTTCCATCCACACTCCTCTCTCTGTTAAATTAAGCTCAACCAATAAGAACAAAGTCGTGCGTGAGAAAGGTAATGGAGCCCACTTTCCAAAAGTACGTGCCTCATATGGTGCATTTAATGGAAAGAATAAATGAGCCCTCAGCGTGACCTAATGCCGCAAAGTAGATAGCTTTGTGACATTACAGGCACATCTATGGGTGGACGCACATACGCACACACCGATGCTTAAATAGCTACTATTCCATTACGCGGCCGTCTGCTTCAGACTGCAGGCCCTCAGAACACATTTTCAGCTGTTGAATTTAACTACCCTCTTCAGCTGCTCGATTTGCTGCTGTCTGTCTCTCATCTTCCCTTCCTCTACGCTTTTCCACCACCTTTTCGTCGCTGTCTCACCTCTGTCCCCGTCTTTCCTTTCCCTCTCACCCTTCCCTGCCTGTCCCTCGTCGCTATCATCCCACTCTCTCTGCCTGCTTGTCTTCAACACTCTCTTATCTCTCTGCCTCTCTGCACCACTTCACACCATCTTTAACTCTGTATGGCCTGTGGTGTCGTATAGATTCACAGTCACACAGCTAATTACTGAGACGGGAGCTTAGACATGCATTCCACTGAACAAAAAAGAACTGAACCTCCTAAAGCTGAATTGAGCCGTGAGATGTCTCACTCACAAATGCATGGCATCAGTCTCTATAAGGCAAGAATCACAATATGTTTCTTCTTCTTTTAGTGTGTAGGTTCTTAAGAGATTGAGTATGTGCAAACTCTGCAGGAATATCTGGGCTGTAGTCATGTCACAGAAAGGTTAAGAAAAAGCTGCTTCTAGTGGCAGGTGTCACTTGTTTGACATGTCACACAAATTGAAACATCAATGGGTTGAAATCAATAAAAAAAGACTTAAAATGTCACAAAATAACATTAAAATGTGCAGTATTTGACTTTGTGGTCTGCCTGAACTAATGCTATGCTCAATTAGTGAAAACAATAGTAAATTGGCATTTGTGCTGCCATTTTTAGTTTGAAGAACTTTCCTTAGTTTGGCTCAGACATGTGGTGTGTTTGCAGGTTGTTTCTCCATTTAACCAACGGATTACAAACTCCTGTTGAGGTAGGTTGGAGCTCACATTGCACACACTGGACAGGTAGCCGTCTATCAAAGGGCTTACACACTAAAACAGACAACCATTCACACCTACAAGCAATTTCCAATTCACCTGACTTGCATGTAGTTGGACTACGGGGGGGAGCTGGAACTCCAAAAAAGAGGCCAGTGGAGTCTAACCCAGAACCCTGGTCCTTGTTTATTTGGCTCATTATTGCTGGTGTTGAATGTCTAATTATTTTACTTCACTGCTACAAAGTTTACCAAAGTTAACACATTTTTACTTTGCCAATTACCTCCCAACATTAACTCTGCTCTCTGGTTTGACAAAAGTGGCTGCAGACAAACCCTTGACAAGCCAAAATGCCTTAGTTGAATATTTTTTTTTAACTTTCAGATACCCTGGGAGATGAGAGGAGAAGAGGATCATATGAGATACTTCAACGGTTTTACTAGCTACTGTCAGTGGAAAAATTCCCGCAGCTACAGTTTCCCCTTATAACAGAGAGAAATGGAGCAGAGAGACAGGTTGAGAGGCAGAGGAAGAGCTGATAAAGAGAGGAAAAACACAGCATATGGTAATGAAAGAACACCCACAAGCATGCATCTGCATAGGAAGAAAGAGGTTATTAAAATGTACATGGAAAAATTCTGCACGCCGTTTTGCCTACGTTACTGAGGTTGAACTTTATGCAATCACACGCAGAATTTTTAGTCTTGATGGTCAGAAAACAATTTGACTGAATGAACAACACGCTGGATAGCAGGTAGACTGTGCTTGTAATAAAAAGCCACTGAGAACACAAATTCTCTCATGTTCCTGTAACAAAACAGAAAATGGGTGTCTCTCAAAAACAGTCTCATGATGAAATTTGCATGGAGAATACAAAGAAAAGTAGGAAAAAAGCTAAATTTAGATGAGATGTTAGATGGAGAGATGTAGTCAACACAGATAGAGAGTTGTGCAGAAGAGAGAAGAATGAACTTCATAAGAGTGAGGTGAATCTCAAGTGAAATGTGGCTTAGTACTAAAACCTGATGACCCACAATGGAGGCTAGTGTTTGTGGCGGTGAACTTCCTGTGAGCTGTGGCTGTACTGAAACCTGAAGTGGAATGGAGCGTAGTGTAAGTTCAGGCAGCACTTAAGTCCTGCTTGAATCATCTGATTGGTATTAGAGGCCTTATTCATTAGCTGTTTGGCTGCCACCTGACCGGCAATGTCCAATTATTTTTAATCAGGCTTGCTATTATAACATCTCTAACGTTTACTGTGCTGATAAGCTCACGTCAATGACGTTTGCTGCCTAAGCTGCCTCCATCGTCTTCCTTGTGCCCTAAGATTTTGGTAGTGTTGAAAATCCTAATTGGAATGTTTTTTGCTCGCTGTTAATTCAGATTTTCTTCTACATGGTCCTGCGACCTACCAGCACCTGACTGTTGCTGGCAGTGCATGGAGGAGTTTTGTTTATAAAAAATCTAATGTGTATTTATTAGGATAATTTAAATGAGAATGACAATAATGGCTCAGAAGACACTCACATGGCCCAGACTTATCTGTAGACTGTCGACACCGACTGACCAAGAACGGCTGTGATGCCATTTGTAATCCAAACGGATGCGACAAAATATTTTTTTTTTTGCAAAATAACCAAAAGGATTGGGGTCGAACAGGCGGAAACGCGCAAAGCAGTGAGAAGAGAGACAGAGACAGAGACACTGAACTGCAGAAGAGAAGAGAGGGAAAAGTTGAGGAGATAAATCGACACAGAGACAGCAGACAGACTGGGAGACAGGCAGTCAGAGAGAAAGAGAAGAAAGAGCCTTGTGATAACGTTACACCCATGGACATGAACATGATGATGAACTGTGTAGCGAGGTTTAAATCAAACCCAGTGGTTTTGTCTTTGATGTTCACCACTCAAAGTCAGCAGGGACTGGAAGCAACATTAGCTCTTTCCATCATCTCTCTCTCTCTCTCTCACACACACACACACACACACACACACACACGTTTGACAGCAGCTGTAACCCAAAGCTGTAATTCCTATTAAAAGACACTGAAATGGAGCAGAGAGAGATTAGGTTCTGGTTAGGTTTCATTACAACTGTATTATGCTTCAGCCATAAAGTGCATTTGTCTCTGTCAGTAGTCTAAGGTGGCTGCATTAAGCAACATTACACTTCATAAAAAGGCACTCACTTTTCCCAGTTTATTTAACCAGGCAGGTCAATTAAGTGCGATTCTCCCACAAAGTGAAAAGCTGGCTTGAGCTGGAAACCGCATCATTCAGACTTGTGCATCGGTGGATATTGGTCGAAACCAAAGAAACGTATTGAAGGTTGCATATTTTTTTTACAAATCAATCTTCTACTGAACAGCTCAAGGTCACAGAGAAATCTGATAGATTCTCTGAGGATTGCAACATGAGATAACGTCAGACATATATTTGTGGCTGCTCGTGCATACGACAGATACACTCACTCTTATGAGCAGCATAGGGACACATCAAAATCCAAGGACACACACATCCATATGTACACTGATGTCAAGGAGTCATGTAGAATGGGAGTGTGTTGGGAAGTAAGAATGTTTCATGAGAGCTGAATGTAACTTTAAAAGCACATTTACCTGATAAGAGCCGGGTCCAGGGTTGGTGTTCCTGAAGGCTTTGAATCGATCTTCTCTGGAGGAGATCAGAGCCATTTGAGGGGGGGATTGCACACTAGCATTGTACTGGCCAGGGCCTGATGAACACATACACACGTTATCCATAGCTAAATACATAATTTCATATTTAGCTGCTATAAGTGAGACAGAACAGACAGGTGTATCTCCACGTTACTATGAGACAAACACACAGGCAGGTGTACAGAGATGGATGTGCATACACACATTCAAACACACAGGCAAAGAGGCACTGAAGAATTCAAAAAACACCACACACACAGACACACACACACCCTGCAGAATAACAGTGTTTGTTGTTTATATAATGGTCTGTGACATTAGCAGTGGCTCAAGGTGTTTATAATAAATGCATGTAAAAGTTACTCTATGATTATAAGTCATAAGGTGATTGTTGTTAGCTGTTAGGTCAGATAAGGACCTGCTGCTGCCTTAACATAAACCCGTGTTGGACCAGTGATGGTTTTTTTTTTTCCCTTCATCATAATTCTTAATGCACTGAATACCATTCATAGCCCTGGGGTCCATTGAACCATTTCAAAGTTGATGGTGAAAGTTGTTTTTATAATGTCTCAAAAGTTGGCAGTTGAGCTTTTGAATAAAATGTTGTGTAATGAATAAACCCTGAGCTTAGCTTCTTTATTTTGAGAACCGTTTTAATTTTTCAGACTTCAGTGGGAATGTTTCTTCTTGGCTTTGTAAGAGGTTTGTTTTAACTTGCAACACTGTGAATATATGTGTCTGTGTGTGTGTGTGTGTGTGTGTGTGTGTGTGTTTTTGAAAAAATTGTTAAATGATCTTATCATTAGCAGAAATGTGATCGCAGGGGACCCAGCATGAGGAGGAATATAATATTCCCTAATGTTCCATATACTGTAGGCCTATTCATAAATGCAAATTCAATAATGGGCAAAATGATTGTATGCGTGTGTTACTATGCACATATCAATGTGTGTTCCCCACTGTGAGCCTGTATGGGCGCACGGGTGTCCACATGCTTGTGTCTGCACATCTGCTTCAGTGTGTGGGTGTATAAGTGTGAGTGTGTACAAAGAAGAAACACTATTGCAAACAGTCCAAATCTATTTATATGCAAATTGGATTTTGGTTAAACGGTTTGGGGTGCCTCATGGGTTGAGTCCCTTGGTGAAATGGGGCTAGTCATAAATTATCCAAGTAAGTCATGAATCTATCAATTTTGAAACAACATTTTTCAATGGGAGTGTAATTGAGGTAAATATTAGGTTAGAGGCCCACAGAGATGGAGCTAATTGGACTGCATGATGGTGAAAGGGTGGGGCTAGATAGATAGATAGATAGATAGATAGATAGATAGATAGATAGATAGATAGATAGATAGATAGATAGATAGATAGATAGATTTCTCTATG